TACACTGGATATAGTACACAGAATACATTATATACACTCTATATGTATATACTGTATATATCAGGGTAAGAGTATAGCTCAAGTAATTACATATCTTACTCACTGAAGCATTAACTTTATAGAATTGTTTATAAATTAAAAATCTAAATTTCTTTACATTGATTTTGATATACTTTCTTTCCTGGGAAATTGTTGTGCAGAGCCACAAGACTCTTCAAATCCATATAATTTTTTAAATACATATAAATGTATATACTATTTTTGTACATATTGACAAGAAGTATAAGTTACTTTTAACTCAGGACAGCTTTATGTAGATTTTTTCATATTTCATTATCTAATAATATAAACATCTGAAACAAGCACAAGGGATTAGAGAAAGTAAGATTCCAGGTTATTTTTCCATAATGACTTTTTTTGTTTTAGTTTTGCATGTTGTATGTTTGTTTTGATACTGTAGGTGCTGTAATTTGAAAAGGATTTGGTCCCAAATGCGTAACCCTAGTATATACATTGCATCCAGCTCAGTTAACAAAGTAGTGTAAACATAAAATCAAAATGAAAACATGAACTAGAAATGTAAGTTTGTATGCAGACATATAGTGCTTTGCAAAAGTCTGCAGACCCCTCTTACGGTGTCCCATTTTGTGAAAATATAAAATGTTGCACACACAGTTTTTGAATCTAATATTTCATTCAAAACCTGAAAGGTTAAACAGAAGATTTTTAAAGCATAAAACAAGATACAGTAAACGTCAGTAAAAACTAAAGAGAAAAATATGATATATGTTCCATTACGTTTTCAGACCCAGGAACTCAATATTTGGTGGAAGAACCATAGGCAGCAATTATAGCTGCAAGTCTTCTCTGGGTAAATATCTTCAAACTTTGTACAGTGGATTAAACATCATGCTACAATAGCTTCTGATTCCCTGGTAATGACAAACAGAACTATAACACAATGCTGCCACCACCATGCTTGACAGTAGGGATGGTGTCGACTAAGTCAGACACTGTTTTGGGTTTGTATCCATTGTAGAGCTTTGCAGAATAGACCAAAACGTTCCAGTTTTGTCTTGTCTGTCCATGAATCCTTTGGCACATATCTGTAGTATTGCTTTGGTGCTTTGTTGCAAACCCCATGAGGGTTTTGAATCTTTTTCAGTTCATATCAGTTCATACAAGCCACGTTTGGGGCTGTTTGAACGATGAACTATTTGGGGGATATTGTTGAGCCATGAACATTTTCTCCAATCCCAGCCACTAAAATTAGTGACTCTTCCAATGTCACTGGCCTTTTCCTTCTTGCCCAGCTTCTCAGAGTCTTCCACTTTGTAATGATTAGCCACTTGCTCAAACAAATATGAAGTCTTTTAGATGTCTTTATACCCTTCTTCTGATCTTTATTTTTATACAAATTTATCGCTGAGGTGTCTGGAAAGCTACTTGGTTTTAATGGACTTACAGATACTGCTCAACTAACTGTGTGGCTCATTGAGGTAATTCTGTGAACCTTAATTAATTTTGCTTTGCCTCAGCAAAAGTTTTGAACACTTCATGTCATCCAATCATGACTTCTCAATTTTTTCATGATATCTATTTTGTTTAATTCAGCCTTTTTGCTAAGAAATAAATATGTCATGTATATAACAAATATTAACTGCTACTTCAAAGTGCTGCAAACTTATAGCAACAGAATGTGAAAACTGTCTGAATACTTTTGTAAGGTACTGTACATTATAATGTAAGGACAGACAATATATTTTCATGATTAGTGGTGGAGTTTGTTCACATTTGAGCTCACTTCTGCTCTGTTTACTTCTGCTCTGTCTGAAAAAAATAAAATAAAAATAAAACTGAATAAGTTAGCTCAACTTTTATGGTCAGGCAAAATGTTCACTTTAGATGAGAAATATTTCTTTGAACAACTGTTGTTTATGGTGTGTTCTTTAAATATTAATTGGAATGTTAATTAATTAAAACAGCTGTGAAACACCTGTAAAACACTGAGCCAGCACCTGCTTATTGCCTTATTCCTTGAAGCAAGTGTCTGGGTAGACTGGCATTTCTCTAAATCATAAGCAAAGTGCAAATTATCATTTTTGAGAGCTAACTATTCAAACAAATACCCGAAAACAATTCTTCTGAAGCCTTAACTGACTGGTGTCCATTAACTATTAGCTAACTATGGTGAATTAATTAAGCATAGAGAGGGGGCAACCCTACTCAAGTTAATGATTTAAACAATTTAACCAAAAAAAGAAAATGTCACTCATTGTATCCTTATTATCAAGCCTCCAAGTTATTGAAGATAAGCTTATTTTGAGACCCATTTATGTGTTGCAATTATTTGAGGATTGTCTTGTGCAACGCTTAGAATTCCAACCAGTGCTCTTTGACAGCATTGTATGGAATTCCAGAAGGGAATTTCCTGCAGGTGATTATTAAAAAATCTTGCAAATCCTTAAATATATGCAATTAAACAAGACATTTTCTGCAGCTTCACAAGACGTTTTCTTAAATTCACATGACACATGCAGTGAGGGAGCTGTGATGAACTGTGAGTGCCCAAGACTGAGGTCCATTGAGATGCCATGGGGGTAACAATAACACAGTTAATGAATAGTGTAGTGCTTAAGCTCTCCACCCACATGATGGATTGGGGATCTGTCCTTGAGTTGAGGTCTGTAATGGCCATACCTTTACCCAGTACTGCAGCAGCAAAGGAAAGTCAAAAGAATAAGTGCATAATGGAGACATGAAGAGGGGGCCTCCATTTATACACATAAAGCCACCTAGAACAAAAGTCTGCAAGGGGGAGGGGGCACTGGATATGGACTACATGCTTTTGGAGGGGGTGGGGCAGTTTGGCTAAAGGCAGTAGCACACTTGTGTGTGCCTGTATTAATGAGTTGGGATTAGTAACAGCAGGTGAGTCCTTGACATTATTTTATTTAGGTTACACTTTGCAGCTAATTATAAACAATTCCACTTTGCTTAAGGTTTCTTTCTTTTTCTAATGCCTGAGAGCTCAGGAGACATAAAGAAGGATTCACTGGCTGTACAATTTGTGGTCTCCTACACAGAGATTACCGGTAAGGGCGTTGCTGAGTCAGGGCCAGCTGAGAGAGTCATGTCAACACCTGGCCAGAAACAGGAAAGAACTCAGAGCACAGACGGAAAAAGACCTTTGATCACTGGTGACCCTGCCTTGAAATGCACCAATGACCCGGAGGTGAAAGGCTTCCTATTCTCATGAAGGGCCTTCCTGACCCCCTGAAATAAAACTGAACATGTGGCGTGGAATCTCGTGCTGGGCCATAAATTTAACCCCTTGCTAACCAGCTCCACTTGTGCTGTGTCTGTCCCTGTGTGCATTTTCTAAAGGCTTGGATTTTTTTGTCTGGGTCAGGAAAAGAGAAAGACATTTTCTTTGTGACACCTAGAGTGTAAGAAAAAAAAATACAATCTTCAAAGCACTTGAGCAGCTCCACAATGAGAATTCCACACTTCAAACAGCAGATCAGTCATGATCGGTCACTGGGAATATAACTACAGTAAAATCTAAAAGGTTGCCATCAGTTCAGGTTTAAAGGAGCAAATCGGAAAATGCATCAAGTAGAAAAACATTTCAATGTAGAAATTATTTTTTTTATTATATTTTTACTATATTTCCCCCTCATTGTTGATTATACCCATGGCTCTTATTTAAAATTATTTTAATTGGTCTTTTCAGCTTTTATTAAAAAAAAAAACCCACTGTAATTGTCTTCCTTTATTCCCAATATATTTCAGAATGAAGGAAGGCATTTTCCATATTTTATAACATTTTAGAGGTGCCTGAATCTATTTACAAATAATATTAACAGCAAGTTATTCATATTTTTGAAGTGCTATTATACTACTGTAAGCTACTGTAAGTTTACATAGTGTTGGGTTTGTGTAAAGGTATCGAATTGTAATAGGTATAATAGTGAGTCAAGAGAACAGGAGTTTAATACTGTTAGTTTCCAACTTCTCGATAACAAATTAATATGTAGGGAAAATAAAGTTGCGTTGAATGGTGGATTAAACGAAATAGACGCAACTTTTCGGATGTAGTTTGATGCTATAATTTTCTAAATTAATACGTGCACGATTTTCCCTTCCAGGCTTAGCTGCTACTTGCTGCCACTGTGTGATGTTATGCAGTAGTACAGTACCTATTGTAGTAGGCACTATCGCGAGACTGGCCCATTAACAACCTGCTTGACAAACACACTACAGGGCGCTGCTAGGCTGCCAGGGACAGACAGAGACTCACAAGAAACGACAGGAGACGCAACATCTGGGAGCACATCATGAAAGGACAACGGTAGTTTTAGCCAACTCTGCAGCTTGGAACACTTCAAACCAGGCTCCTCGGCTGCTTCAGCCTCATGTGTGAGTAGATCGCAGTAACCGAAACTTACTAGATTACCTTACCGCACAGTCTAGCGCTAGCGCAGCAGCAGCAGCAGCGGAGTTCATTTGTGGTTGTACACCTCCTTGTGAGTTGGAGTTTATGCGTGTTGCTAATTGCTACTGCCCCCTAACTTGGCCCTAGCGACGACGAGTTTTACTTTCTCTGACAAGTGTTCCGCCGCAAACATTCAGAATTAATACGCATTTGTGTGCCGATTATGAGGAACTTTGTGAATATAAACAATAATCGTCCGCCTTCCGTTTTGGAGCAAGTATTTGTCGTGGTGCGTTATCGTAGGTAGCCAACCTGTGAATGAGGACACAAGCGTGTTTATTTAAGGGTAATCGACTTGATTGCAGTGGAGTTTGTGTTTCGAATGGAGGCTGTGTAAAATAAGTTTGTCATCTCATATGCCTATAAATGGGCTGCTGGAACTTTAAAGGAAACAAGCTGTGGGTTAGCTGGTAGCTCGATTTGGAGTAACATATGGCATTAAAAGGAGCACAGCTGGAGGTAGCATTTCCATTGCGGTGATGTCAGAGCAGCTGACTCCACAGCTTGCAGTGTAATTAGCAAACAGAGCACTCACTTCACTTTACTCCCCTTGCTTTTTTCTTAACCTTGCTCGCTGGACTAGTGGCGATATACGCGAGGCTTGCTTTTGTGTGTGTGTGTAAATGTATGCTATCAAATTAAACCTGAAGACCAGCTTACCAATCGCCGTGTGTATGGGTTCGGTGACTTTCCTCTGAAATTACATGGAAAGTGCAAAAAAAAAGTATTGATCACTGATCGAAATCTGTTATGTTGCTAGCTGGAGAGAAAGGTAAGTCTGCGAAGTGGCGGTGACAGCCATCTACGACGGGGGCATTAGAGGGCACGCAGAAGAAGCTAGAACAAACCGGTGATATTTTAGAGTAAGGAATAGTTTGTGTAGTTTTTAGAAAGTTATCCCGAAGGCACATAGGCGCATTTAGTATAGGCAGTGTTTGCCAAGTTCATTCGGCACAATTCTTGCACATGTAGACAAGTGCACGTTAAATATACAACAGGGCCACCGCTGTTACGACAAACTTTTATTTGCTTTTAAAAAGTGTTTTTTTTTTGTTTTACTGTTGTAGTTTATTACAGCTGCCCATCCTGTTCCTGAATTTGGTTTGCTTTCAGACATGCGGTGTTATGATGTAATTTAGTGTTTCAATGGAGTTCTATTTTTTAATCTTGTTCTCGGTTGCTACTTAAAATCTATAAAGGTTCGAGGTAAATGGAATTTTTTTTTAGTTTTGTTTGTTATTTTCTGTGCTCGCTTCCAAGACAATACTGGTTGCTAACTTGCGCTGCAGTCCTTGGAGTGTCTGCCTTTTGTTTCTTTAATATCCAGTTTTTCCTGTTTTTGATCAGGTTATGAAGGAAGAATGGAGTTCCCAGACCATAGCCGCCAGTTGCTGCAGTGTCTGAGTCAGCAGCGTCACCAAGGCTTCCTCTGTGACTGTACTGTTCTCGTCGGAGAGGCGCGATTCAAAGCCCATAGAGCTGTGCTGGCCTCGTGCAGCATGTACTTCCATCTCTTCTACAGGGACCAGCTAGACAAAAGGGACGTTGTGCATCTGAACAGTGACATTGTGACAGCCCCGGCTTTCAGCCTGCTCCTTGAATTTATGTATGAGGGGAAGCTGGAATTCAGCACCCTGCCTGTGGAGGATGTTCTGGCGGCTGCCAGCTACCTTCACATGTACGACATTGTAAAAGTGTGCAAAGGCAAGCTAAAAGATAAGGAGCTGTGCTCTTTGGATGAAAAGATTAAGGACAGGATAGCGCTCAGCTGCCTGGAAAAAGAGAACTCTTCAGACGGAGAGCATCTAAAGCAGCAGCAACAGCAGCAGCAGCAGCAGCAGCCGCCCACAGCAGATGAATTTGACACAGACAACGGGGAAGTGAGGCTGGCTGTCACGGATTGTGAAAGGTCTGCACAGTGCAGGCAGAAGGCGAACGGTCACCCTGGCGGGTCCCTGGACCTTGTAGGTGTCAATTATGTGTCAGCTGAGGCCGAGTCCTGCGTCCGAACAGCTGGAAAAACAAAAGCTGATGTCAGTAGTTCCACGGCATCTCTGTCCCAGAGGTCCCGGGCTTCAGATGACACGGACTGCGCTCTGGATTTGTCTTTCAAGCCTCTGTCTAGCAGAGATTCCTTACACCCCTCCTATGTCTCGGGACAGCTGGCTTTCGACAGCCAGCAGCAGGGCACCGAGCCACTTGTTAAAGACGAACACGACTTGCTGTCAGAGCAGGAGGACAGTGAGCCGATGAGCCCGGAGAGCCAGCGCTTTGGGAATAGTGCCAGGAGCTCAGTGGTGACAGGGTTCGCTGCCCTCTTCCCAGGCAACAACGGCTCCTCGGCGGCTCTGCTCTCCCGGGAGGATGACTTGATGGAGCAGGAAGGAGGGGGGGGAGCCGGCGGAGGTGGCGGAGGGGAAGAGGGGGGGGCGCTTGGGGGGAGCGAGGAGGAAGAGGAGGACGACTTGGCCTCCTCGGACATCTCCACCTCCAGCGGGGTGCTCCTGCCGCCCGGCCAGCAGATCTGCGTTTGCCCGCTCTGCAGCAAGGTGTTCCCTAGCCCCCACGTCCTGCAGCTCCACCTCAGCTCGCACTTCCGCGAGAAGGACGGCCCGCGCTCCAAGCTGTCGCCCGACGGCTCGGTGCCCACCTGCTCGCAGTGCGGCAAGACCTTCTCCTGCATGTACACGCTGAAGCGCCACGAACGGACGCACTCCGGGGAGAAGCCCTACACGTGCGCCCAGTGCGGCAAGAGCTTCCAGTACTCGCACAACCTGAGCCGCCACGCCGTGGTCCACACCCGCGAGAAGCCGCACGCCTGCAAGTGGTGCGAGCGGCGCTTCACCCAGTCCGGAGACCTTTACCGCCACATCCGCAAGTTCCACTGCGGCCTGGTCAAGACACTGGCCATCGGATAATCCATCTCCGCGCGCCACAGGGAGGACGGAGTGGTTTTACACACCTGTAACGGAATGCCACTATGTAAAGCCTGTACATATGAAAACCTGTCAGGGGTGTCACTAATTGAGAATCACGATAGACAAGGAGGCCCTGCAGACGTCTTGTTTTACAAAGCAGCGTAGCAGCATTCAATCAACTAAATTAACAGGGAGCACCTCAACTATAGCAGTCGGAACGTTTATTGGACTTGAATTTATCTTTTGAGAAACTTCCAGTAAGCATTTATCTGTTGGGAACTGGTCAACACCAGCAGGCAAAGTTTCTCCATCCATGACAGGTTGTGGAGAAATGCTCTGCCCTGTCTTTCTTTCTTTTTTTGTCCCCTGCAGGCGCAGGGCTCCACAGTTTAAAATGCCAAGAGCACAAGATTTAGTGATGAGGAAGAGCAAACCACAGATTCGCTAGTCGGTGTACAGCAACACCTCCATCACTAGGGCTTGTGTAAATTGAACAAAAAAAGTCTAGGAAATCACAACCGGTCCAATTGTGGTAATCTATTGCTGATCTTTGTTTTCCATATTATTTATAATTTTTTAATTTAAGAAATATACCGATATGAGGGTTGTTTAAATGGAATCAGTAGCACTGGGCTTATGATGAATTACCATAATTGGTAGTTCCAGGATACAAGTGCAAGAAGAAAATAATTCGAAGAGTTACAGTGTAAAGAAGGTGAAAGCACACCTAACAGGATAGTATTTCACTATTTTTTTTTTCCACGCAGTGTGTTGATGTTTATTTATAGGATGTGTTCTGTGACCCCTTTCACTGAATCTGCAGCTGGTAGCTTAAACAAAAAGCCAGTGAGATTTCTTCTTTAAAAATTCATTTTGTGCAAGATCTAGAAAGGCCTGGATATACTTCTGGAGCCTTTAAAAGGAGTTTATTTAAAGTCCTCGCATTCCTGTCCTTACTGTGAATTAATGATCCTGGAAGCATGCACTAGAAAGAATAGTTAAGACAATGCTGAGAAATTGAATGCTGCTGTGCTTTATGGCTTGACTCGGTTGAAATGGAGAACAAAACAATATATTTGGCTATGGTGACATTGCCTGCTGTACTGACGCATATGCTGAGTATGAAAACTGACCCAGATGCGTCTTTATCTGCTTTTATGGTACGTGTTTATCAGTCAAAAAGAACTTGTATAGGATCTTGTATATTTGTACACGCATATAAGTCTTCTCGGAAAGCTGCAGTATATTATATAATTTGTTCTTATTCTCTGACCTGTCTAAAGCATTTGTTTTGCCACCTGTTGCCAGTGGTTAAAGTATCTCGGTATCTCTCCAGGTTTTGAGTAAGTTACAGTCTATATGATATACTACAGCTAGAAAACTACTGAACTCAGTTAATTCTGCACATAGTCTGAGCAACTCTAGTGGACTTAACTTAATTTCACAAATTGGCAAGTTATCTTTTGAGCCTTTTTGGTCAGTACTGTGGATGCGTTAGAACTGTTTTTGGATTCACTTTAATTTTCCTTGTGTGAGATGCTACAAGAGCTGGATATAGCACTAAAATTAAACTAAGTTATTTTCTTTTTATCTTTCCTGATAAAACTTGATATAGTATTTATTAGATTTTTGTTTTGGTTCAGGGTTTACTAGAGTATGATGCTTAGTATTACTTTTTATTTACAATATCAAAGCACACTGATATATCTTTTTTTTATTTTAATAGATACAACACACTTAGCTTGAGTTCTTATGCATGACTAATTGAGAATCTTGGCTTGTTCAATGAACATACATTTTGAAGGACTGTTTAGCTCCCGACACAGGTACTAACTTCAGTGGTGTCGGCTAAAATCTGATTTTTTATTTGCAATATATCAATACTGTAATGTGAATCACCTCTTTAGTGGTGTCGTATTCAGTGATAAAGATCAAACATCTTAAATGAAACTTTTAAGATCTGCTACCCAAGAAACAAAAAAAGCACTTGTTTTGAGTATGCATATATTACATTCTCAAAGTGTTGCTTCATTACCCAAGACCTGTATAGGCTGCTATTAAAAAAAATATTCTTAAATATTTTTTAAGTTACAATAGCCTGCAGTCTTTCCTTTTTTATTTACCTCCCAACGTGCAGGTTTTAGATGAACAAAATTTCTAGAGGCACAGTCTTCAGAGACTTTCAAACACGCTGTGGTAGCTTCTTCCTAAGCTTCTCTCTTCTTCCTAAAGGGTTTAAGGCTCTTAAGGCTCATTTATAATGCTGCAGGCTCTTGTACTTAACTGCTGGAAACAATACAGGGAAAATAAGCAATGGATGCTTTATCAGCTCAGACTGGCAAAACAAAAGACAGCAAGAGAAAAACAGCTCATTTGAAAGAGAATAATGGACGCTTTGGGTTAGTAGACCTTAGTTTCTGAATATCTCTATAGAAAACAAACTTTCCTATGTTCCCATCATAGGTATTTTGGAACTTTGTGTGCCCTTATTTTCTTCACTTTTATGATTTAGAATGTACTTTAATGACTGTATTTTTCTCCTCTGCTAAGGAGAAACTCCTTGCACTTCTTATTTTTTGTTAAAAAGAATGAACTTCTTGGAGTGAGGGATTTATTTGAACGGAGAACTGAACAATTGTAACTGCTGACTTTTTTTTTTCATTTCACCGCATCTACTTTGATCACCGTGATCTACTTTTTTTTCCAGGCATGTTTAAGAGAAGTGCTTTGTTGTACCACTTTGAATAAAGATTGCACACTAAAAGAAGTTACATTGAACTTCGAACACAAGTAACTGGATTACAACTCTTTTAATATTTCGAAATGATCAGGTTTCTGAAAATTATCTAAAAACACTTTCATTCATATATTTAGAGTTGTTATAGTGTATTTGTAAATATTTTAATTTCGGTACACCGTGGTAATTAGAAAGTTAGGGGGAGAAATGTATTTAAATGTACAATAGATTTAAGGGCTGTGTATATTACAGGTGATGTTTTTTTTTTTTAGAAGGAATGGTGCCTTGGAGTTAAGCATTCATCGATCTACCCCTAGTTTTGACCCTATGCTTGACTTGAGAGGAAAATCCACTTTCAGAGTATTTCCATGAAAAGTGCTTATTTGTTTCCTAAACATTTTGATCTCGTGATTTCTCCAAAATGTTTCTGTTTATACTGTGTGCTAATTGAACCCTGAACACACACAGGAGAGAAGTTTCAATTATTTTTTAACGAAGGAAGGAAATATCTTCTTTGATGCAGCTAGTTTGCTCTAGTTTTTTCTTTGCTGATTTTAAAATGTTCACATTTAGGAAAACAAAACTGTGAATATACAAATTCTTTGTGTAGAGCGTATCGGAGATGGATTATGATTGTCTGACTTTTTTAGCTTGTGTTTTTATTTATATTTTCGGAATTGTTCTATGTGCCTTGTAGACACAAAGGGCCAAACTTCATACATGGAGTTTGAATTCCTCATCTCATCTGTTTGCTGCAAAGTTAGAATTCGATCAAAGTGCTGAATTTGGTCCCTACCCTAATGTAAAAAAAGCATGTGGTGTTCTGTTAAACACCATTATAAGATATGACAATTTTAACAGAATAAAATTGCTTAAGCAGAACCAACAAAGTTGGTTTATTTGAGAGGTTTTGAGTCACATTGTGCTTAACTGATTTTAGCCTTATGTATTTGAGAAGTACATGCTTGTAACTGAGAGTAATGTATACCACAACTTTGAGGGCAGTACATTGTGTAACAAACAAGCCTTAAACACAAACGCATAAAATGAATGTGTCTACATGTGGCTCAGTAGGATTTTAAGGGGTTAAAGGTGAAACACTGGAGTACAGATTCATAGAGTAATTGTGGCAGTAACTGCTAGAGCATCCCTTGCACCTTGCAGCTTAGGGATGTTATATTAATTTTTAACTTAGTCTTTTAAGTTAAAAAAATGAAATGTGTATATGTATATTAAAACTGGAATCTTGTCTACTGCAGTTAAGGTCCACACTGTGAAATTGTGTATAATCATGAAAAGTATTTATTGTTTGTTTCTTGTGCAGAAATTTTACTGTATCTCAGAATTTTGATGTGTACAATGAAAGCTACTACTAAATGTCAATGGAAATTTTTTATAGAATTTGTAGAAGTGCCACTAGAGTTGAATATAATTTTTTTATAAGAAAAGTCTATTTTCTAGAAAACAAATGCTTCAGTGTTAGTGCTTTATAGGCTATAGAGGACAATCGGAATGCTACAAAAAGGCATTGCTTAGGTCTGTTGGCGCTTATTTTAATTTGTGTGAATTTGTGTTCGCATTTTTGAGTGTGCGCGTGCGTGGGAGTGTGTATGTGTGCTGTGGAACTGTGACAATCCTGATTTAGGCCTGTTTTGTCCTTAGTTTTGCATAAATTAAAAAAGAATCAACCGGGCTTCCCTGTGTGGAGTTTTATTAAGCTGTTCCATTTGGTGTCAGAATACAACTACATATAATCATACTCATCTGTCTTGAAATATGTTTTACCTGCTAATTATTAGATTTCTGAAGAATAATATGTAGTTGTGTGAAGTGAGAATAAGGCAACGAAGCATTATTTTTTTTATTAAACTTGAGCTAAAAGATTAACTGCATGTTTACCCAACCTGTCTATCTTCCTGACTGAATGTCAGAAAATACCCGGGCATCTTTAGTTGGATGTACACTAATAATTATATCAAGTTGATAGTGTTCATAGAGGTGAAGATGCTTTCTCTTGTGATTTTTTTAAGAGACCATACACACTTAGGATGTTCTTTGTTTTCTTAATAGGATTTAAAATGTCTAAAATAATGTCCTAATTATTAACTAATCCATCTTGGAAGAGAATTGCAAAGCATAGTTATACAGATGGAAATATAATTTTTTCCACCTCTCTCGTATTTTGTATTGAATGTGAGCTCCTTGTTCACTGATAGTTCCCAATTTGCTCAGTGTGGTGCAAGTTCCCTAGTAGGAAACATGTTTAATTGTTTGGTTAATTTGAGATTTATATGTTTTCAAGACAGACTGAAAAGTGACAAATTCTAGATTTTGAAAATCAGACCTAGTGAATTATTATAGAATTTCAAGGTGATGAAGCCAGGTATTCTGCAATATGCTAAACTATCCTAAAAAATAACCGATAGTACGAAACTGTTTACAGACAACTCTGAACGGTATTACATTAGAACAAGAAACCATACTAAAGGGGCACCTTGGAAGAATCCAAGGTATCAACTTCAACAACATAGCTGGGTGTTTTTGATCCAGACTTCTACAGTTCTGTGCAAAGAGGGCCTTCTGTTCTCAGTTTTAAGTGTACTTCTGCTTAGATTCCATATGTGTTCTCTGGTTCTTGTTTCTTGATTGTATTTCTAAACAAGTCAGTGGAGCTGACCTTTTCAGATGCTTTTCCTCAAAATCTTCCCTGTTCCAGAACTAAAAATATTCACTTATTTTAGCCTGTGACTATAGGACATTCCGTTAAGACTGGGAATTCCTTGAGACTGGAATGCAGTTGCTTTTCTCTGGACATATTCCAGAGCAGCAGAATCTTTTTGTGGTGTTGTGACCAGTCTTGTATGCAATATTCTATATGAAGCCTTACTAGAGCATTGTCCAATTTTAATGTGAACATCCCTAGATTTAAATTCCACTGTATTAATCATATATCTTAGCTTTGTTGGCCTTTTTAATACCTTTCTACATATATCTAGAATATGAAAATGATGTTATAGTTAGCTCCTAAGTCTTCATCATATACTGTAGTATATTCAAAATCAGGTATTCTCATCTTAAATTTATAATTTATGTGTACACTAACTGCATGTAACTCTCTAATTGTCATCTGCCAGTCCAGTTTTCCCAGTCCTATTTTTAAATTTCCTTTTACTTCTGCTGTGTTTGCTAATCTTATTCAGGTAACTGCAAACCTGACTAGTTTAAAACACTATTCTTGAAAATAGATCCTCAGTGTAAATTAAGAGGATCAGTGATTTTAAAACTGATCACCTGTGATATCTCACAAGTTACATCATCCCAAGCTTAGAATTCACGTCTTACCTCTATTCTGTTTTCTATTCATTAACTGTTTAATTGTCAATCCAAAGATATTAATGCAACAAGATCTTGCTTGCAATTTGAAAATTAGTAAAACTACCTTTCATATGTTCTGTTCCTTATCTCTTGTTGTAATACCTACCTTTTCTAAATACTTGCTGATCAGCTTCTACAATCTTATTTCCACTGAAATGGTGCTATAGTTAGGCTTGATAAATCCTCTAGTCATTTCTATAAACATACATGTAATAATTGTCTATAATTACTTTTTTAAGATTTATATTATGAATGAGTGCTAATGTAGACATTGTGCAGTCAATGGGTACTACCACTGTCATGAGTTACTGTGTGTGGCAGTCTTTACATATTCTATTGAATTTGTTATTTCATTGTCCATAATAGCAGATCATACAATATGGCATTACACTTTGCATTACTTGTGCCAATTAACAGATACCATTATATAACTTTCTGCTGGTCTGCTTAAGTAAAGTCAATGAAATAAGCGAGCCTGAGTGGTAAATGCAGATGTGTCTGTCTGGGCTTGTTCTGAGGCCCTGAGATAAAGCGTTGTTTTCTGTTAACGCCCAACAAATGAAAAACTGTCTTAGTCATAGTGGGTAATATTAAACTGTCCAGTAGATTATTTTTTAAATATGTGGTATATTTGGTATATAAACTGGATTTCAAGTACATGTGTGAGCTTTCAGAATTTTCTTGAAGCCATACACACATCCCATATTTGAAAGAATGGCTGTAGCAGTCTATGTTTGAGTTGTTATAAAGAAAAAGTATGTTGAATTTGAAATCACTTTACGTATAACAGGGGTAAAAGCAGCTTGCAGAACTAATATGTAATACAGAAACTGTAAAAAAAAGTATTAATATCCCATGCCTAAGAGGCAGAAGGTTGAAGGTTAAAATATGACGACTTATAACACAACTTGAATACTGACAATATACAGTTATTTCTGACATTCAGAGTAAATAAAAAGGCACACCTGTGTCAACCGCTACAGGCTAATACATGTTCTCATTACTATTTAAAATCAGTGGGATTGAATTAATATAATCTAGTTTTGTTTTTGGAATAGCTTCTAAAAACACTTTTCTAAAGATGGTATTTGAAGGTTCTAGCTGAAAAATAATGATCGGTTCTGGTTACTCGAGATTATACGACGCCAAGAGAGTAAACAAAAAGCGCACCGAATGTAAAGCCCCTGAGCCAATTCACTGGTCACTTTCTTTGGGAAGGGATTGCAATTAGCCCCCACTGCACTTCTAAAGACATCCAGCTGCTCCGCTATACAATCCCAATGGAGCCGCATTTCAATTCCCACCACCCTCCCCCCCCAGCGCCCCCCACCCGAGCTGTAGACGAGACTGTCCCCACAATGCGTCCCAGCTCTGTCCTTCAGCCCCTATTGTAACCACAGTAGTAGTTCAGCCGCTCCATTGTTACCAAGAACTCACAAGCACTTACTTAATGCATGAGCAGCGTACATGACTGCACTGCTCCGCCTGTCACCGAACAATGAAGACGCTGTCTCCGAGATCTTTGATAAACCCCACAAGCGTCATCTGTGGTGCTTATTTGTAAACAAGGGTTGTGATCCAGGGTAGCCAATGTCAATCAAAATATGAACTCAGCTCAAAAGTTTTTAGCGCTATTTGTGTTCCCAGGAATAGCAGGGAAAATATATATATATATTAATTTACCATAGTATTTGTGCAGAAATGATTCTTTTAGCGCTAAGCTGTTCACTAGAAAATAAACTATGAACTGCAGTATCACCATAATGACTGTTTTAATAGTGCCCCTCTCCAGTGATATTTAATTTTGACTGTTATTACTATAGCTCCTTCCAGCTTCTATGTATGAAGATACAACACAGCAGTTGACAAAACAGTTGTTCTCTTCCTTAGTAAAATTACGCATAAAAGGTAATGCAGGTATCACTTTCTTTTGTTACAACAATTAACATTTTAGTTTTTGACCAATGCAATATTCTGTAGTCTTCTTGAATTACAATACAGCTGAACTATACAAATGTGCCTGGTTCATGACGGGACTCAAGGTGACAATCGGCACCATATCATTTTTTGTTGTAAATATGGCCTAATTACCCACAAAATTCCCATCTAAATTGTTTAAAGTATGCTACAGTATTCAAAACGTGTCCGCTACCATATAGTATGAAAATATTTTAAAAAGGAATTGCAGCTCTGGTCTTGCAAAGAGAGCCTTCTGTGTTGAGCTTGACTCAACTGAAATGACTTGATTGGACCCAACGCTTGCTTAATTATCACCAGTAAACATAATTCTAAGTCTGTTACTTTTAAATGTGGAGCTGTCGTATTCTCTGAGATCAGGGTTTCAGACGTCTAATTTAATAATGCCACTGTTTCATGGAAGGTAAAATGTTGGGTGTGTCTGGGAGGTGCTCGAGACTATTTTAGGGACACACTTCACTTAATTAAAGTTGTTCTCCTCTCTTGTAATCCCACCAAACAGAGAGTTGTATTGTTAATGTCAAGCATCACACCATGACCAGCGGTGTGTGCCCTTGACTTTTGACCTTCCTGCCAGAGACAGCTGGTGCTTGGTCTTTTTTTTTTAAACCCAAGACAGGTGGCCACACTTGAAAAGGAAGGAGAGCTAACATGCCTGCAACCGAAATGGAAATGAAGTCTGTGACTTATGACAAATATTATACTGGAATAATATTTCTTTCTGTTCAGTCACAGTTTTTCTATTCATTGTTTTTGGGTTTTTGACAGCCATTTTGTCACAAATGAAACGATCAGCAGTGCACAAACAAGAATGGATGACTGTGTGGGAAGTGCTGCTGCGTGTTCTACCTGTTTGAAGGCTCTTTTGTGAAGCACAAGACATACAAAATGTGGAAAACGTACTGTATAACTAGTTTTCATTTATAACACACAAATCAATTAAAAAGTGAAAAAATATTTTCCCAAGATGAAGGCAAAATTAATTTAGCTGCAAAAACAGATATTTAAAAACAAAGTGTTTTCTTATTCTTCGGTAAACATATTTCTAGCACTGAGCTGTGGTGTGGCGTTTCCTTTTTCGATAATGGCTGAATGCACAATGTCCTAATGGATGAAAAGTACTGTCTTGTTCTTCTTAAAAACAATAAGAAAAAAAATCCCTCCAGATAGTATTCAATACTGTTGAACAGGCATATCTAATTCTTATAAAATGTGTTTTTGATTTTGCCAACAAATAGAGTCTGCATCTGGGCTCAGATGAAATCCTTCAAACATCTAAAATGTGCGAGTGACAAAAACAATTGCAGGTGCTGTGCCCTTGGCTCTCTTTTCACTAGACTG